ATTTTATTTTATTATTGTGAACCATGTTCGTTTTAAAGCGATTGCAAAGAAACTACGAAATGACGATATCATCTCGCAGAATTTGTCTTCTAAATGTCTTATTCAAGTATGTACATATTTCATGGAAATGAAAGAACATTGTAGCTTTGCTCACCGTATGAAAAGTGTTCAAGATATGTAATGAAAATTTATTACTTTATTTACTGGCTATTTTATTATCTTTCATTGAATCAAATAATAATCAGTGCCAGAAATTTATTGAAATACTCGCTATATTCTCTATGAAAGAGAACAAAATAAATTCGAGGTTTCAAAAAATAAAATTATTTTCAAGTATTGGTCTCTGAAGGGATTTTGTTTGATTGGATGGAAGACTTCATGATGAGCTGACATCATTTAGATAACCACTGGAAAGCCTGGGTGTACTGGACAGCTGTTTCGTCCTCGTCCGGGATTCTTCAGTAGTACGCTGTTTTCCAGTGGTTCTCTAACTGATGTCAGCTCATGATGAAATCCTTCATCTAATAAAAATATTATCAGATTATGTTTTCTTGGCATAAATTGAAGTCAAGCACAACATTTATGGTAAATCTGAATGCAGTTTCGAGATTATAAATTCTGTGTGGTACGCTGTACATAAGGTTAAATATATTTGGAAGCATAATCTTGTCTCTTCTTAGAAGTCGGTAGGTTCTTATTTTGCGCAGTGGCGTAGAAATCGTTTCAGCTATAGCTGATAGTGTCACTTTATTGACAAGCACTCTGAAATCAATTTTGGAATATTTTTGCACTCAGCACCAACAACTTAAGCTGGAATTTTCAAGACTTCTCCTATATGGGTTAAAAAAATTGACAGACGCGTCAAGAAGAAAAACATTTTTTGCAGGCTTTAAACTTTCGTCAACTTCGCTCCATTAAACTGAGCATCGGGTAACGAGAAAGAATTTGCAACAAAAGAAACTCTGCGATCTGAAAAAGTCTCTGAGGATATCACCGGGTGATATCTGGCACAAGGCCCATAAGGGCAAGCTGAAAAAGGAAAACGACGAGTTAGGTGTCTAAGGGTAAACTGAAGGAGATGAGAGCTGATGGGCTGTCTTGAGACCAGCTCAAGTAGACTAAAAGAGAATAGGACGAAGTCGAGAAGTGCTGTTGAAAAACTGTGCTACACTTGGAAGAAAAGGAAATAATAACAATAATGACAAGCTGTCATTGTGAAGTATTTTAGGAAATAGGTCTATACCCCAATGATTTATATAGTCCGTGTGCGTAGTGAAAACTATCAGAATTAGATTTTCTTAAGATTCGTTTCGAATAAGAATAAAGTTGACATAAGTGGCATTTCAAAGAATATATGTCTAATTATACTGAATACTTACTGTCTGTTAAGTGGCACAATAGAGTGGTGAGAAAACGCTGTTTTTGAAAGGAATATTTGAATATTATCATAGTTATATGTAAAATACCAAAAGCTATTATGCAAGATCTAGATAACACATAGAACATATACAGCAAAGAACTTTATACCGCCACCATTTTAAGACGTACTCATAGCTGGTCAACATGATGCATCTGTGAGACAGTGTGCCTACAGGAAGCTCTCATTGGACGCGATAATATATATAAATCACTCCAGCAGGAAACAAAGCATCAATTAAAATGTTCGTTCAGGCATATTGAACACCCACTTGTACTGTGCAAGCCACTCAAGAGAAGGAGCTCCAAACATCTCTAAAAATTAGTCAGGTGATATCTGATTTCGACAGAAGGCTTCGATATCTTAACTGTTCAGGGGAGTCAAAGGTGCAACCAAGTCTACTTTTATGAAAGAAACCAAAAACGAATAATTCCTATACTCCTTTGAAGTATTTAGATGATATTAGGAGATCCAACTCTGTCTATCAGTTAACAAATATTTATGTATGATGAAACATAGGTAGAGAAGTTGAACAGCATGTTCCAAAGTGTCCAAAACGGCAGCTGAAGTTATCAAGCTCATCCAGTCTTGGAAATAGATGCCTTTGGATTACTTGTTTGAATTTGTTTTATTTCTAGTCAAATATAGATTTGAACTCTTTTATTTGTCTTGACAATAAACGCCCAAAATTTTACTCTCAAGGTGAAACCAAGTGTCGTTTGTATGACTAATTTGACTTTTAAATGACCATTTTGATCTAATTCACAGAAATTGGCGGAAAAACTAAAAGTGAAATAAATAATCAATAAGACCCTTTGCCCAAGAGATGTTTGTCGTCTCCCAAGTGGTCAAGTGGATAACGCTTTGTCGTGTTGTGAAACGATGCAAACTGGGTTCGACCCTCAGTGTGAACATTATCACTCACTGCCTGGGGAATGCAGATACACCCACTGACTGATGAGTCTCAAATAGGGCTAAATGAGCGTTTTGCTGGATTCCACTGCTAGCCACCATCCACGAATTGACTTCAAACAGCTACTCAGTTTTTAACGTTTCGTACTCTGTTAGCATTTTTATAAATGTGCGTGATAAATATTTATGTGAACAGAATGTTCAGGACATGTTTTAAAATTAAAATTTTGGACATTTCAGGTCAATTAATTTTAGTGATTGTCTTTAGTGAAACTAATTGCTTTAAATAAATATATATAGCCTTACTCAAGTGGTTATTCGGGATATTAACTTCTATCAGATGCGTGCTTACATAGTAATTACAGTGCGAGCAGCTACCGGTTGGCTACCGGGAACCTCCATCAATATATTGCTGCATATAATTTGAAGAAATATTACCTCTTATAGTATCACATTCACTCCTGTGAGTATTTAAAACATGTAAAACTTTCTAATTCACTAGTTCCTATTGAACTTGATAAAGATCATGTTTTTGAGTGAGCTTGGCTCTCACGATGTACTCCCAAACATTCTGTTATTGCCATTCAACCAAGTGTCGTGCGTTTCTCAAGTCAGACAGCACTGTGTCATACAATCTACTCTGAGTTAATATTTTATTTGAAGATTCTGGACGAAGCGAAAATATCATGGAATAAACTATGTTGACAGTTCTGAAGACTACACAAACACTGTTTAGAATAAATCTATTATTAATAATATATCTGGATGGGTAGGAAAATTGAGCGAATAAAACGTTCAGTCCTACCTCAAAAGTATGATGGAGGTATGTAGATGAACACCTACACCGTACATTTAGAACACAGGAAATAAACAGATAGAAATCCGTCAACTTAGGATAAAAGTGCCACTTTGGGACATAATGTTGGGAGTGCAGCTATGCCTGACTTCCACCGTATTTAAATTCCAGGCGAATATGAACAAACAAATTGAGGGAGTTTCCATGGGGTGACCAATATCCCCAGTTGTGGAAGATATATTCATGCATAGGTGGAAAAAAATAGTGACTGAAACGTTCAACCTCACTCATAAAGTATGGTGGAGGTATGTAGATGATACATTCACTGTACTTAAAACACAGGATATAGATAGGTTTTTTGGAACACAATAACTCAAAGGTGGAGGCATTTCAATTCACTTATGAATTGGAAAGTCAGGAAGGGGAACTTCCATTGTTAGATTATGGCGTAACAAGGAAAGGAGATGGGAAGTTAACTACTAGTGTTTACAGGAAACCCATGCATTCAAACAGATATTTGGACTTCCGATCATCCCTCCCGATGTCAGTGAAAATAGGATTGGTGAAATGTTGAAATAATAGGGCATAAAATCTGAGTAGTACTAAGGCGAATCTAAGACAGTAAGTGAGGCATTTAAAAGAAGCTTTGAAACTTAATAATTATCCTGATAAATTAGTCAGAAAGTATGTAGGGAAATGTAAATATAAAAATAAAATAAATAATGATAGTAGTGATAGTGATAATAATAATATTAATGATGACATGCATGTCAAACATGCGCAAGATAATGACAACACCAACAATAAGGAATCTAAATCATCAGTAGTAATTCCATACAAAGAAGAAACCTCGGAAATCAGCTTACGGAGAGTTCTTAACAATGTAGGAATAAAAGTAGCATTCAAACCCACAAACTCAACTAGAAATAAGCTTCGTCAGTTAAAGGATCATGTGGAGCAAATTAGACAAAGAGATTTAGTTTATCTAATAACCTGAAATGATTGTCAGGTCAAATACATTCATCAAAGTAGTAGTTCGGAGTCAGTCAGACTAGCCGAGGATAAAAACCTAACAAAATCTAGATTGATTGACCCAACTAAGATAAGAAATCTGGAGAATAGTTCAGCTATACGGCTAACTACGTGCAATTACATACAACCATACAAAAGGATATGATAAGATGACAGTCTTAAAATCTAATGTAACAGCAGGGTGGAGGGAGAGATTGATAACGGAAGCTATATTTATCACATCGAAGGCAAACACGTGTAATAGGAGTGAATCAACACGAGTACAACCAGATATCTGAGAAATTCTACTACTTCTATGACAAATAGGAAAGAATGAAGAAAACTGTAAAACTCAAGTTTCTAAATCATTTGATTATAATTGATGAAATGATTATAAACAATAAATTTTCTTCGAAACATCATCCAGTAAATAATAATACTGTTTCATTGTCTGTGTAATATATCTAATAAACGAATTATTGGGAAACTATTATTACTGCTACCTTAATGTCAATACAACTGTACAGCTTGAAACTGAAGTCAACAAAACTATGGGCACTGGGTTCGAGCCTTGGTGGGAACATCAGCGCTCACTGCCGTGTGCAGGTATATCTAGATGACGAGTCCCGAATAGGACGCAAGGTACATCCTGGATTCCACTGCTAGTCACCACACACAAATTAAAATACATGCATGTTAACCTCTTCTCAACAAATCTTTGATTTCCTTATTTAGGTCTGAGGTTATCAGTTTAGAATTTACTTTCAACCTGTGTATACTCACAGAAAGACCATAATAATGGACAAACAGTTAAGGAAAATGAACAAATATCCCGACATAAACCTTGAAACATCTTCAACTTACATTCATATAGAACAATATTCCATAATTTCATACTTTATAACTGTGTACATTTCACTCAAATCCCTTTATATAAGATTTGATCCTTCACCAGATTGGTTGTTTATCAATGGGAAAATTGTAAATTTTACATCGTATCATTTAACCAATCAAATTCCCATTTATTTTTGATATGAACAGATATGAATAACCCAATTTTTTTTAATAAGTTAAAATAAATTGTAGAATATTTCCGGTTGGATTTTATCTAAAATTAAATGATGAGACAAGTCAGGTCATATGGTCAAATTTTCTGTCATGGAGGTGGGTGGGGAGGGATTAGTTTCTTTTAATTGAGAGGAATTTTTTAATCATTAATTGAGTGACAAGCCCATTGACCATTCATAGATTGGGAGAGAATTTGATGGAAGGTGAATTTAACCTTCTACTGATTCTTGCTACTATTTTTCTGATTGCATACAAATAACTGATTACAGAGTGAAGTTACCTGTGAATTCCAGTAAGAATTCGTGACCAGTGACATCCATTAAGTAGGCTGTATTGCATTGATACTCTCTAATGACGTCGGCGTACAGTGATGCTGAACACGGCAAATTCAAAGAAGGTAGAATCCATCGACTGTTGGATTCTGTTTTACTGACTGAGTGGTCAACGCACTCAAATCGTATTCTGAAGCTGCTGGGTTCAATCAGCCAATGTTGTTACTACTGTATGTGCATGGAGAATGTCCAACTAGGACGTAGTAGCTATCCACTTCTCTAGGGATTCTAGAGGTTCTCTAACTGATATCCACGAAATCTCTGTGAATGAGCATTGAAAGATGATTATTGCCTTGAAAATTTAACCTACTCAAAATGTAGGTTTGAATTCAACAAACAGGTTCGTATCTCATCACTGAAACATTGCCATGGATTTTCCACACACTTTATTAAGTCAGTTTTAATATGAACTGCTTATACGATGGATATCTAGAAGTGCACAGAAGAGAGTGGAATAATTTCCTTATTGATGGATTCCTTTTCATAACGTTGGTAAAGTTTAGATATTTTGATATTGTTTTAGTGGATAGTAAACGGCATAATGGCGTGTCCCAAGTCTTTATCTACCTCATTTAGCTATGCGACAATGCCACAGGTCAGTTGATCCACAGCGGAAAACCCAGCGAGGCGTTTGAAGTGCATACAGGAGCAGGATAAGCTGGCTGCCTGCCTATTATCACCCATGGTGATATTCTTAATTGTGGTGGACTTGACTATGCATCAGAATGAGCAATGAAGGTGAAAAGATAGAAGTGCGCTTGACCACCGATCAGAAGACTCTCGAAGATCTGGATTTCACGACAGATGATATTTGTTTAATGTCACACACACTTGAAGACTTGCAGGCGAGATCCAACAAACTGGCTGGAGAGGCAGCGAAAACAGGACTGCAGATGAACAGAAAGAAGACGGAGGCGATGAAGATAACCAACAAACAGCAACAACAACAACCAACACCAATCATCATCAACGAGAGGGACTAAACAGAGGTTGCCTCCTTCACTTGTCTAGGAAGCATAGTTTCAACTACAGGCGGAATGGACGAAGATGACAATGCCAGCCAGAATCGGAAAGGCAAGATACGCCTTCATCAAACTGAAACCAGTTTGTAAATCTTCCACACCCAGCATAAGCAACAAGATTCAGGCTTTGAACACTAATTTCAAGTCGGCCCTTCTATACGGGTCAGAAACTTTCACTGCGTGTTACAAGAAGGATCTTCAATGAGTTACGGACTTTTATCAACAGCTGCCGCCTTTGCTGGCCTCATACTGAAAATAAAATTGGCGGCGGGCCAGAAAGAATTAGCAAGAAGAAACTCTGGGTGAGAACAAACCAACAGGCGAGAGCTGATTGCTCAACAAATATGCTAGAGAAAATGGAGATGGATCGGGATACACTGAAGAGGCCGTCGAATGACATCGCGCTAAATGCAGGTGATCGCTCGAATGGAATACCAATGGAAAGCGACCAGTAGGTCATTGGTGTGAGTATGACATACAGGAGATCGTATGGCAAGGAGGAGATGAGAAAATGTGGACAATCATGTACCCAGTAGAAGAGGACAGCAGAAAATAGAACAAAGTGTAGATGTGTGGTTGAAGCCCCATGTTCCATTGAAATCCAGAATGTACATCGCTTCCATTTTTGGATTTACAAGCCGGATATGCCTTCAATCCACTCTCTGACATTCCAACCCAGTACCTATTATTTAAATGCCATAGAGTTATACATTAGATCACTTAAACCATGACAATCATCTCTTGTACAACGAACATCGATTAACACTATTTATTTTTAAGTCAGGCCTTGAATTTCTCACTGACTGTTGTTATCCTTGCTCCGGATACGGATGCCTTTACGATGTTTGGAGATAACCATCATTTTTACCAAGATTTACTGGAGGGAATCTCTCGAAGTGTGTTTCTTTATATTCCGCAATTAAGCTTAATACTTGACAAGTACAGAAGATATGAAGGCCCAAATGGCAAACAAATTGCAGTGTGAAAGAAACCTGTCCTCATTCAACTCAGTCTTAAGTTATTATAATTGCGAAAATGGTTAACAACTGAGTCAATTCGCGTCTATCGGACAATATGTTATTCGGTGCAGTCAGAAGTCGAAAAATACACTTCTCATGCTAACTCTAATTGACACCATTTCAGAATTGATTAAAAATCGTTTATCTAAATGTATTAAACGTACTTTTCCTGCACCTGATTTACAACTTGTTTTTACCAGCCGAAATATGATTAGACAATGCGTCAAGGATAGATTACCGCTTTTGTCCACATCCATGTGTATTTACTCTTTTACCTGCTCTTGTGGAGCGGTTTATATTGGACGTTGTAAGCGTAATCTCCGAAAACGTGTAGCTGAACACTATCCAGTCTGGTTAATGAAAGGCGAACGTAGAACCGCGAAGTCGTCTATCTGTGATCACCTGTTAGAGTCAGGTCATTTAGCCCCACGTGATTCATCTTTCAAAGTTATCTACATGGCAAAACCGAATCGATCCAAAAGTTTACGTTGTCTTCACTTATGCATAGCCGAAGCTTTAGCTATACATGAACAGAAACCTAAATTATGTGTTCAAAAACGTTTTGTCAAACCCCTTTCTTTACCTTGTTCATAGTAATGTTCTTTCTAGTTTTTACTTTATTTTATTTTACCACTTGAATTCTTTCCACTTCACTTCACATCTTCATTCTTATCGTAATCGTACTTTTATTTTATAAAATTTTTTAGACAACACTTGACCTTTTTTAAAACATTTTTCAATTCACTTATAAAACAATCTTTAATAATTTTGTAATTTATCCACTTCAACTCTACCCCTTATAACATTTTAATAATCGTTATTCTTATCACATATATGTATATTGACTGAGCAATTATTTAGTGCCACTTAATGACCTTTTCTGTAATATAAATACGACTGTACAGCTTGAAAATGAAGTCGTTGAAAAGAAATTTCTTCGCTGAACAAAAACTGTGTTTCTAATTGTGTACACAAATTAACGTGTATCTGCACTAGTAGTTACATTGGGTGAACAGAAAGAAGGGCACATACTACAAATTTTTGAACATGCACCAAAAAGTCGACGTCTCAAGGGAACAGACGCTTTTAATAGTGTTGTCGCTAGTCATCTCGTTACTAGGAGTCATGAGGTGGACACCAAGAAATCTTCTAAAATTGTCAACAGACAAAATAATTCAATTCTCCACAAGCTTGCGTGCGTCGATGGCATAGCGGTTCGGACGCTCGCCGACCATGCACAAGGTCCGGGGTTCGATCCCCGGCCACCGACGCACTCCTTTACCTCGCTGAGCCAGAAATAATGCTGGTGAAGAGGAAAGGTTGGGCATGAGGCTAGCAACCCCATCCTGTAAACATAATCACCACTGCTACAAAAACTTCAAGCCTCTAGCTTGAAGCCCTATGTTCCACTGGGAACGTGAAGGAATAAAAAAAAGCTTGCCAAAACACTCAATATCAAACGCCTGTAAACCAGCTTACGTGTCCAGAAGGAAGCAGTTATAGGTCTTTCCTGGCCCTGAAAACTAGATACCCTCACACTCTCTCTTTCATTTGACAAAGCAATCTTTGGGTTTAACGCTTACTCCTTTTGATATAGTGTAACTCTGCCTCACTCTCTCCTTCTATGATCTGAGGTGAACTCACTATATGGTAACTCAATTTATGAGTTACTAATCCTCCTATACATCCTCTGTCTTCATTACATAACTATTTTTCAATTGTATGTATATATTAATTTTTGTTTAAACTTGAACTCTATGAGTAAAAGCTGTACGAGTATAAGTGTCTTTGTAGCGTTCATCACGTCTGGAGCCACCTGTCAGCTGACATCATGTAAAATTCACTTGTTAACATTGTTCTGTACATAAATTTAATAATTCTTCTTGGCTACAGACAGCTGATGAGAAGCCGACGAAATAAACAATGATGCTGTCCTTTTTATTCTGTGCAAACCACTGTTGTTCTTGTTTGAATCGAATTCATATGAGGGGAATAAACGCATAAAAACTTTGATTGGACAGTATTAAATAGTACTTTTTTGTGCAAACTGAATTCTATCAGTCAGGTGTGCAATCTGACCACCATTCTAGGTATTTTTCCATCACAGGGCACATTGATTTGATGATATTAGATGGTTGCAGGCAATCTGCGGGAAGCCTAACATGACCGGGGTTTCGTGCTAGTTGACACTTACCAGTCATCAAGGCCTATATGCAACTTTGAAGGAACCCAGTGCTGCAGTCAGAGACCTTACCACTGAGCTATTCGGGTTCGCGATTGACCGCCTGTAGGACTGTACTGGATACTTTGATTGAACACTAGTAACTAGTGTGATGTGTCTAGTCCTCTGTTTGGTGCAGACTGAGTGCTATCGGCAGCACGAAACATAGGTGCGAGGCTTCCTGCCGATTGCCTCCTACCATTTAGTATAAATACTTTATATCAAAAA